TTGAGTTTGACTCTAAGTGTGACCTATGGAACGGCAGTGACTTTTGCTGAAGCAACAGTGGGGAGAAGCCACTCTGAGCTGACTCTGTCCAACCCAGGAATGCCGTGGTCTGAGAACAGCCTCCCAGGCAGGAGGGAAACCCAACAAACACAGGCTTTGTTCCTGCTACCGAGTTGCCCAGTTTAGATTCAGATTCCCCGGCTCCCCTGCCCAACTGGTTTAACCTTTCCCTAGCCCAGCAGTCGGTGCCTTCAGGCCCCAGGAGGATGAAAAGAACATGGAGACAACGGGAGGCTCCAAATGGAGTAGCCCTCTGCCAGCTCACATCCCTCTTTCAGGGGCTGCAGCTTGGACATCCCGGGACTGGCCAGGTTAGAGGCAAGGAAGATGTCTTTGCTTTTGTTCATTGTGTTCCTGGTAGAGACCCTGGGACTTGCTCAGGAGAATGGGGAGGAAAGGGCAATGAGTCAGAGGCCTGGGGTTGAGAACAGGTGTGGGGAAGGGAAAGGGAGCTAGTCTGATACACATCATTTTGCTCTCTAGGACTATGGAGTGTTAGTCTCTGAAGGAGGAAATGCTATTTTCCGTCTGTGTAGTCTCCAAGGAAGATATAATGAGTTAACCTATAGGGGGAGGGGCTCTGGCTTAGAGGACAGGGCAAACTTCATAACTCTGAAAGGTAATACAGGTGTTCCTTGACTTCCAATAGGGTTATCAGGACATAACCCTGTTGTAAATTGAAAAATGCCTTAAGTTGAAAATGTATTTAATACACCTGACATACCAAACATCATAACTTTGCCCATTCTACTTTAAACATACTCTGAACACTTACATTCGCCTACAGTTGGGCAAAGTCATCTAACACTAAGCCTATTTTATTTTATTTTTATTTATTTTTTGAGATGGAGTCTCACTCCATGACCCAGGCTAGAGTGCAGTGGCACAGTCTCGGCTCACTGCAACCTTCACCTCCCAGGTTCAAGCGATTCTCAAGCCTCAGCCTCCCAAAGTAGCTGGGATTACAGATCCCCGCCACCATGCTCAGCTAATTTTTATAATATTAGTAGAGTGGGGTTCACCATATTGGCCAGGCTGGGTCTCGAACTCCTGAGCTCCAGTGATCCTCCCAAAGTGCTAGGATTACAGGCGTGAGCCACTGCTCGTAGCCCACAAAGCCTATTTTATAATAAAGTGTTTGGTTGGGCACAGTGGCTCGTGCCTGTAATCTCAGCACTTTGGGAGGCTGAGGTGGGCAGATCATGAGATCAAGAGATTGAGACCATCCTGGCCAACATGGTGAAACCCCGTCTCTGCTGAAAAAAAGAAAAAATTCAAAAATTAGCTGGGTGTGGTGGTGCATGCCTGTAGTCTCAGCTACTTGGGAGGCTGAGGTAGGAGAATCGCTTGAACCCAGGAGGCGGAGGTTGCAGTGAATCGAAATCATGCCACGGCACTCTAGCCTGGCGACAGAGCGAGACTCTGTCTCAAAAAGTAAAATAAAGTGTTGAATATCTCATGTAATTTATGGACTACTGCACTGAAAGTAAAAAAACAATGGTTTTATGGTACTTGGAATAGGGTTTCTACTGGATGTGTATGGCTCTCACTCTTGTGAAGTCAAAAAAAAAAAAATCTTAAACCATCATAAGTCAGGGACTGTCTGTATAAGATTTCTTCCTTAACCTGAACTCTGAGAGGTGCCCCTTTCCCAAAAGCTGGGGTGTCTTTATTGTACTTTCCCTTACAAAACTCGGCACTTTGTGTCCTAGCCCTTGTCATGGAGAAGGCGACTAGGAGGGAAACCCAGGCCTGACACACGTGACAAGAGAAGCATTGTGAAGGCAGTTGGTGTCACAGGCACCTTGAAAAAAGGCCAAAGCTAGGTACCTCATCTCCTAAGAGATCAACTTTCTTGGAGTCAGGATGGAATGTGAACCTCCCTTAAGTAGTGGCATTGGAGGATGAAAGAGCCTCTAAAATCTATAGATAGTCTCAGCTGGAATAGTTGGCTTTAGGATTGAGCCCTCTTAACTTCTTGAGGTAATTTAATAGGTGGATGAGTGGCAGACAACACTCCTCCATTCTAACTGAAAACCACCTTAGGGAGGCATGAACCTTGATCTCAGGATTGTGTGCAGATCTGTGAGGGGAGAGGAAAGTAAGCAGTGATGCCACATCCTTCCTGGAGGCTGGGTACCAAACCGAGGCTCCTCCCTAAAAGGCAATACAGATAGGTCAGCCATCAGCCTGTTTCAGGTGCCCCCACCCCTGGAGACCAGCCCTCCAGCCCTCCCTCATTGTGCAGACTTTCAGCCGGTGTCTGCTTACCCACACCCTGCCCCAGTACCAGGAAGAGCCAGGTACCTTGATTTCCGCCCCCTTCTTGTAATCAGCTTTGACACTCGAAGAAAGCAAATGGGAAACAGGTAAAAGAACTTCTACAAAGTGGCAGGGTGTGGTGGCTCACACTTAACAATCCCAACACTTTAGGAGGCCGAGGCAGGCAGATCACGAGGTGAGGAGTTCGAGACCACCCAGACCAACATGGTGAAACCCCATCTCTACTAAAAATACAAAAATTCGCTGAGTGTGGTGGTGCATGCCTGTAGTCCCAGCTACTCAGGAGGCTAAGGCAGGAGAATTGGATGAACCCGGGAGGCGGAGGTTGCAGTGAGCTGAGATTATGCCACTGCACTCCAGCCTGGACGACAGAGTGAGAATCCATCTCAAAAAAAAAAAAATTCTACAAAGCTGGAAGTAATGGAGTGGTTCAGTGAAAGGGTGAGAAGTTACCAAGGCTTAGTCCCTTGAGAAAGCAGTTAAGGGTGGGGGAAGCAGCGTATGCCATGGAGGCAGGAGTACTGAGTCCCAGCCCCAACTCCACCCTCACTGGCTGTATGGCCTTGGGTAAATCATGCCCCCTTCTCAGGAGGCTGAGGTAGGAGGACTGCTTGAGCCCAGGAGTTCAAGGCTTTAGTGAGCCATGATCCTGCCACAGCACTCCAGCCTGGGTGACAGAGTGAGACCCTATCTCAACAGAAAAAAAAAAAATTTTTTTTTTCCTGAGACGGAGTCTCTGTCACTGTCCTAGGCTGGAGTGCAGTGGCACAATTTTGGCTCACTGTAACCTCTAGCCTCCTGCATTCAAGAGATTCTTCTGCCTCAGCCTCCCAAGTAGCTGGGACTATAGGCACATGCCACCACGCCTGGCTAATTTTTGCATTTTTAGTAGAGAGGGGGTTTCACCATATTGGCCAGTCCCGTCTCAAACTCCTGACCTCGTGATTCGCCTGCCTTGGCCTCCCAGTGCTGGGATTACAGGCGTGAGCCACTGTGCCTGGCCAAAAGTTATACACACACACACACACACACATATATATAACATGTCATTTATATATTATGTATATAAATTATATATAGATACATAATAGCTTTCCCTCTTGGAGCCTGTTTCCTCATCTGGACAATCACGAAATTGTTTAATTAGAGGATTTTTGAGGACCCCTCACCAGTATGATAGGGCGGGCGTCACCCCTGTGTTCTTATAAAGTGAGGAGCATTAGGAACAACCACTGTCACTTTCTCATTGTGTGGGTGGGGCCCAGCCAGGTGGGGAAGGGCACACACAGTTCTGCATCTGGCAGCAGAATTTTCAAGCAAGGATAGACCACAGATTACCTAATTTAATCCTCTCATTTAATAGGTCAGGAAAGACGCAGGGTGAAGTGGCTTGTCCAAGGTTGCCCAGCCAGTGGCAGCTAACATTTTATTTATTATGGACCCAGCATTTACGTTCCACTTTTGGACTTTGTTTGCACATGTCTCATTTAACATCTGCATTTTACAGATGAGGAAATGAGGCTAAATAGGGGACTCAGGGCCCTGTAACTAGTGAGTGGCAGAGCCAGCCATCTTCCAAGTCCAACTTGCCCTTTCTACCAGACCACAGGAGGCGAGGAGGGTTCCCCATTACCTCAGGAAGTCCGACTTCCGCCCCAGCTGTCCTCTGCCCCAGGGAAAGCAGAGAAGGTGAGTCAGCCCCTGCCCCACCCCAGAAGCTGTTATCTGGGAAGAGAGTGGAGGAGCTGGTCAAATATCCCGCTGGTATCCACAACAAGCCATGAGCCCTGGGTATGCTGAGTTGCTTGGTCACGTCGGTTCCTGGTGCTGACGCTAGGGCCCTTCTCCGTGGAGCTGCCTTGTAACCGCTCCACCCTGTACTTTCATCACACACACAAAATACAACCTTTCCTCCATTGCTGTAACCTGCCTCTTAAAGGGACCGACAATCGGGGCTTTTTGTTTGTTTTGAGATGGAGTCTCACTCTGTTGCCCAGGCTAGAGTACAGTGGTGTGACCTCGGCTCGCTATAACCTGTGCATCCCAGGTTCAATTGATTCTCCTGCCTCAGCCTCCCCATTAGCTGGGATTACAGGTGTGCGCCACCACGCCAGGCTAATTTTTGTATTTTCAGTAGAGACAGGTTTCACCATGTTGGCCAGGCTGGTCTCGGACTCCTGACCTCAAGTGATCCCTCCCCGGCCTCCCAAAGTGCTGGGAGTATAGGCATGAGCCACAGAGCTTGGCGGACCATCAGTTTTGAAGCCAAATTTGAGAGGACGAAGGATCCCCCGCTGCCCCCGCTGAGGACCCTGCTGTGAAGTAGGTTTCCAGCAGCAGCTGTTTCTTTCCCTGAGATGTCTGCTTTCTCCCTTCCCCAGTTTCTCCCTGACCCTGCTGGAGAGAGGGTGAATGTTCCCTGGGCTGTCAGCTTCCTACATACCCTCTCCTCAGGGTGACCCCGGCATGGCTTCTTGTATGTGTTTCCACACAAGTCTGAATTTTCTGTAGCCACCCTGTGTTCAGGAAATGCTGAGGACAGAGGGACCCAGGAGTCCCTGGGATCAGTGGTGGCACTGAAAGGGTTAAGGGCCTGGGCACAGCACTGTTTAGGGTGTTTGAAGTAGGGCGGGGAAGGGAAGGGCTATAGTGGTTGAAGAGGCAGCTGGTCTGGACTGGAATGAGTCCCCCCTTTCTCCTATGCAAACTTCTGGACCATGAGCAGCTCCCTTAAAAGGACCAAGAGAGAGGTGCCCCCAACTAAGGTGCTGGACTGGGTTTTTAAGGGGGCCACCTGAAGCAGGACTTTGTCCCGCGCTAAAGTCACCAACTGAGGACAGAAGCAGGTCCCCCATCTTTGGGATATCTCCCAGGTCTGGTGAGTTTCCCTCTTCCCTTCCTGGGTCCTTACCCTCAGACCCTCTCTTGCCCCACCCGTCTGGCGTAGCACCCAGAACACATGCCAGGGAACTGGCAGGAGGCAGAAGAGGACTGGTTGGTCTTGACCCTTTTCTTCTCTGTCCCCCACAGATAAAGGGCTAGTCTGGGTCCCAAGCCCCTGTTGGAATAAGTGTACAGCTACAGGTCCAGCAGAAAGGAAGAGGGCAGGGTCCCTAAGTTCAGTTTACTAACCAATTTTAAAAAAAAAAGGTGGTCATACTTGGAAGCCCAGATCAGCAAAATTCCTGACCAACTTATGAAACTAGTACATCAAGGACATGGGGATGATCTAGGGAGAGTGTCTGAGATGCCTGTAGCTGGCTTAGTAGAGGGGTGTGTGGTTAGATTAGGGTTCTGCAGATGCTTTGAAATTCCAGAACTAAGTACAGTGTCTCTCAGGAGACAACCCGGAAGCTGAGAGGACAAATGGCTTTTGCCCCACTAAGGGATAGTAGCCAGGTCTCGCCATTGTGTTTGTGTTTGTGCAAAGACCCTTCTGGGTCCTCTTCTCTGTGCCTAACACTTAGAAGGTGCTAAAGTAATCTTTGCTGAATGAATGGATCCTCTATGATCTTTTACTTTCCTTTCATTTTTGGAATTTTACTACTCTCTGGCAGTGGACAGGAAGGTCAGAGAAAGAGTTCCAGGACACCAGCATTCAGCCAAGTCAGGCAGATGGGTGAAGCAGGAAGGTATCAGAGACGGGTGCTCCTGTCTTGGAACGGGGTATCTAGGGAGCAGGTGGGAAGGAATTGTGGCCTCTGGGGCCTTCTTTATCTGAGGCGAAGAGAAGCTTTGCTTTACCCTTCTCTGCAGGGCACTGTTGGATTAATGGTTTACTTTCTACAGGAGAAGAAACATTAGGTTAAATTTTGAACCATCAAAGAGTTTTTGTGACCCTGTGCTCCCCGCACCCCTGCCCGTGGCCAGGAGATTTGGAGGAGAGCCAGTACGACATGTCATTTACCCTCTCTCTTCCTCCTCAGTCTTTCTTATCCAGTTCTTGGGTCTTCTCCAATATCGGCCACCTTGGTAGATTTAGGATCCCACAGCCAAACTCAGAAAGCTTCTCAGGCTGCAAAAGGGCCAGCCAGCATTGCCTCCAGGCCATAGCGCCGGGCTGTTTGGTTGCTCTCAGCAGTACGTCCCCCATGTTCAGTGTTTGCTGACAGCAAACGCAACCAGAGACCTGCCTGTTCCCGATCACCTCATTCAGAGGCCTAAGCTAACAAAAGGATACATTTCACTTCGTTGGGACCCCTGTCTTATTTCTCTTGGAACCTGCTTCCTTTCTTTGGCTGAGGTCAGGGAGGTAGGAATAAGGTGGGTAAAAGCAGTGTTGCCAGATTTCTTTCAAAGCTAGCCACTTGGCCTGGCATGCTGACTCATGCCTGTAATCCCCACACCTTGGGAGGCTGAGGTGAGCGGATCACCTGAGGTCAGGAGTTCAAGACCAGCCGGGGCAACATGGTGAAAACCCCTTCTCTACAAAAATACAAAAATTAGCTGGGCATGATTGTGGGTGCCTGTAATCTCAACTACTTGGAAGGCTGAGGCAGGGGAATTGCTTGAACCTGGGAAGCAGAAGTTGCAGTGAGCCAAGATAGCACCATTGCACTCCAGCCTAGGTGACAGAGTGAGACTCTATCTCAAAAAAAAAAGAAAAGCAAAGCTTGCTGCTTGATAGGCCAGGCACAGTGGCTCAGGTCTGTAATCCCAGCACTTTGGGAGGCCAAAATGGTTGACTTGCTTCAGGTCAGGAGTTCAAGACCAGCCTGGCCAACATGGAGCAACCCCGTCTCTACTAAAATTACAACAATTAACCAGGCATGGTGGTACATGTCTGTAATCCCAGCTACTCAGGAGGCTGAGGCAGGAGAATCACTTGTATCTGGGAGGCGGTGGCCGAGATTGTGCCTCTGCACTCCAGCTTGGGTGACACAGGGAGACTCTGTCTAAAAAGAAAATGCTAGCCACTTGCTCTCTTTGGGAGCTTGTTTTCTGGTTTCAGAAAGGAATTCAGGCTCCACATGTGATGGATCAGCTTTGAAAACTCATCTCCACCTCCTGTCAGCTATGTAACTTCCAGCCAGCTACTTACACTCTCTGTGAGGCCTCTTTTTCTTTTTCTTTTTTTTTTTTTAAAGACTGGGTTTCACCATGTTGGTCAGGCTGGTCTTGAATTCCCGAACTCAGTGCTTGGATTACAGGCGTGAGCCACCATACCCGGCCCTCTTTTTTTCTTTTTTATTGAAACAGAGTCTCACTCCGTCGCCCAGGCTGGAGTGTAGTGGCACAATCTCAGCTCACTGCAACCTCCACCTCCCGGGTTCAAGCGATTCTCCTGCCTCAGCCTCCCGAGTAGCTGGGATTACAGACGCACCACCACCTATGCAGCCTGTTTCTTCATGTGTAAAATAGGGATAATAATGTATGTTTCAAGAAATATTTTGAGGATGGCACAAAATGGATGTTGACACTCATTATCTCTCTCCATAGGCCTCAGATGACACTCAGGGAGTAGGTATGTTGGTTGGGTACAGTGGCTCACGCCTGCAATCCCAGGACTTTGGGAGGCCGAGGCAGGTGGATCACCAGAAGTCAGGAGTACAAGACCAGCCTGACCAACATGGTAAAACCCCGTCTCTACTAAAAATACAAAAATTAGCTGGGTGTGGTGGCAGGTGCCTGTAATCCCAGCTACTTGGGAGGCTGAGGCAGAAGAATTGCTTGAACCTGGGAGGTGGAGGTTGCAGTGAGCCAAGATCACGCCATTGCACTCCAGCCTGGGTGACAGAGCAAGACTCCAT